CGCACACTTCTTTCACACTGCCTCAGCTGCAGTTGTTGTTGTTGTTGCTGATGCTGCTGCTGCTGCTGTTGGTGGTTTGCTGTTGTTGCTGTTGTATCTATTAACCACGCACTCCATTATTATTTAATAACATATTTCTTAAGTATCTGCCAACCCAGTTCAGAGCACAAAAACGAGGCTGCTGCCTGCATCGCCCGTTGTTGGCCAGGCCTCTTTGCTGGTCAACTCTTGACCATAATTTGATGTTGGGGCCTGGCCACGGACTCCGAGATGGAGTCGGAGTTGGACTCGTCGTCATCCAAGTGATTGCCACCCCATTAAAAAAAACGGCTGCGCCTTCTTGTTGCTGCTGCTGTTGTTATTGTTGTTGCTGTTAGTGTTGTTGTTGTTGTTGGCTCCTGCCACGATCACTCAATAAGTCTAGACAAAAATGTAGCTGGTGTTGTAGCTGTGATTGTCGCTCTGTCCTCACGCCTCGCAGAAACTCCCCTCCCCACTGCCCCCCGTAATGGATCAGCACGTTTTGTTGGCTGGGGCTGTTGCTTTTGAAAAAATTGACTACTTCATGGTCTATACACAACGCTACGTCATCAACGGGCTGCCATCCAAGCATCATATTTGTTGCATGATTATGTGGTAATTGCGGCTGTCAATAAAACTCCCCCGTTTATTCTTTATAACCCAAAGCATTCTACGCCTATATTTTATACATCCATACACACACACAAACACACAAACAGCTGCTGTGGCTGCTGTGTGTAGCTCTATCTTCTACTTTGGCTGTGGCTGGGGTTTTGAAGTTTTGGGTTTTGCTTTGGTCGCCTGTTGCCCGTTGCCCGTTGTGTGACTGGCTATAAAAACCCGTCCGGACGGTACCGCACTATGATTTACTTTGACAAAGGAGTGACATACAAGTACTTAAGTGATTTCTTTACACCTTTTATGGAGTAGTTAATGTGGCCATGGTATGCGCGCCTGGCATTGAGCAAAGTCATGCGATGGTGGCTCCCACCACCACCGTCAGCACCACTAACCCACCGAATCCCCCAACGTTTTGCTATGCTTGTCATTTTGGCACTTAGCGGCATTTAGGCTGTGACTTTAGCCACATCTCCGTCTTCATCTCCATCTTCATCTCCATCTCGGTCTCCGTCTACGTCTGTGGATTTTGTTGTTGCCTGCCTCTGTCTTTGCCTGTGCGGCTGGGAAACGCCTCAAGAACTGTTCGGTTTCTCTCGCCCTCTCTCACTAATCGGGTTTTGGGTTAATGTGATCAATATGTAAATGTTGAGTGCGGCTACTTGATATTTTTGACACAATAGTCCCTTTTGAGTTCTTATCGTTATTTTAATCACACCATTTAAACAATTATCTTAATTATAACTTTGATTATCTATAACTGGACCAAAAAATATTCAGTTGAGCTGGAAGATATATAACTTTAAAGATCTACGTATAGATAAAAATTTAGTTTTCAAACTGAAAACAATTCTTTGTTGAATAATATCCCAAACGTCTACAGGAGAAGTATCTATAAAAACATCTTCGACATTAAAGATAACTTTGCCTTTGATTTTTTTTTTGTATATTTCTCTCGATTTACTCGCCTATCCACAACGATTTCCGTTGCATTTGCGCAACTCCCAACCTAGTTAACAGGCACGTTGATATCATAAGAGTATCCAAGAGTCCAACTGCAAAGGCGTTGTCGTGTGTGGGCGTGTTGATTACAGTGTTCAATATAAGTACTCGCCAATGCTTGTTAAATGCATTTCAAAGTAGTTTTCAAGCTTTCAGCGCATCATCAACGTCTTTGCCTTTTTAGATGTTTACAGCCCCAGTTCAGATCAGTTCATGGCTTTGGCAGTTAGGTGTTAATATTGGCACACAACACGCTCCCAAACTGGGGCTTGGAGCAACAGCAGCAACAACAACAACAAGAAGAGCAACAACAGCTTCATGCATCACAAGCTGTGCGTGTAGAGTCGGGGCAACCTGGGAGTTCCATTCTCTGCTGGCGTTGGTGTCGTTTCTCGTTGTTGTCGTAGGTGCGGAAAGTGTTCCAAATGCGCGACAAGAGTTTAGGGTGTAGCCAGCGTCTGTGTAGCGTCTGTGTGTGTGGGTAGTAAATAAAAGCGCCAAAACACTTAATGGATTTGGAGCATATAAATGGAGTATAGGCTATGGATAGTCCCAACACACTTTCGACTGGTAGCTGGGTGCGTCGTCGTCGTCGCCGTCGTCATCGTCATTGCCATCGTCTATAGAAGACGTCTTTTAGCTGCTTTTGCCAGCTTGTTAGCAAAAACGCCGCTGGGTGTTGGCCAATCTTTGCAGATCAAACACTGTTAGTCTTCACGTCTGCTTGCATCTCTCGCGCTCTCTCTATCTCTCCCTCTCACACACACACTCTCTCTCTCTCTATATTTTCTTGTCATTTGCATGCAAATTCGCTGGATCTTTTGTATGTGTGTGCAGTCAAGGTGTCAAACAATGTCAGTGGGAGAATGTGTCTCGCAATTGAAATTTATTTGCACTACTATTCAGTGCTGACAATGCGCCAAGGGACGCTATACCCCACCAAAAAAAAAGAGGAAAAAAGGCCTCAGCTCGCGGTTCGTCTGACTAGATCTCTTGGCGCGTCAACTCGTCAAGCCTTGTCTACGGCGATGGCCAAGCCTGCACCCAATGGGGCCCAGAGGCAGCTTCTGTCTGTCTTGTTCGGCCCGCAGCTCTGCTCCTCCACACTCCGTCGCCAATTGCTGGCAAGAGTCGAGCAAGCTGAGCATTTGCAAAATGTCAATCTGCTGCAGCGCATCAATTCAAGTGTGAAATAAATAGAAACGAATTCAGGTCTTATATAGTCTATGCCCCGTACCCTCTGCTACACTCGTGAAGCATTTGCTATAATTTTCGCGCCATTTACCGTCGACTCGTTGCGAACTCGTCGCGCCAACTGTCAGTCGCAGGCAAAGCGAAATATGTTGAAAGTATTTACAATTACGCAAAGATTGATTGAAATAGATTTCGGATTGATTGGCTCTCTTGGTATGCACATTGACACAGCTGAAGCTGTAGCTCTGACTCTAGCTCTAGCTGTAGGCTTTGACTGTAGCTGCTGAGAAAAAGATCCACACGGTGCTTTGTGTGGGAATTGTTTTCGCTGAACTGCAGTTTGCACTTGCTGACGAGTGTCTGGGGATTGATTTGCAGATAAAAGCGACGGCAACTCAGATTCCTGTCTATTTCTAATTTAAGCAGCTCATCGAAATCATCAGCAAATTAGATTTTATTACCGAGAGAAAAAACTTCAACAACAATTTTTATGTTTCACTGGAGTTGTTTCAGAGAAGAACGAAATAAATGCAAACAGTTAAGGAAAATCTCCTTTCGCAAGTTTTCTAAGTGGCAAATTAAGTCTATTGCTGACATTCAAATACGATTTTATTTCTTAAAGAATCACTGAATAACACTAGACTGCACATTTTCTCTTTTTTCTAAAAATCTTCTGCAGGTTTGTTTAAATACACTACAATTACGAAATATTGAAAACCTTCCTCTAATCGCTTGGCTTTATGATCCACTTTCTCTGGGCCAGCCCATAGCTCTAAATGTTTCCCAGGTGTCCAAGCATCTTCAGCGATAAATACCTAAAGCTTAACTCACATTCTTATGTACATATTGATGTGCGCTTTGACCCAATTTCTTATAGGCCGTAACGCACCCAGAAACCCATCAAAAGGCCCATCAAAATCATATTATTTAAATATTTATTTGCGTTTATTTAATATCAATAGTATTTTTCATGCATTTCATTTCTCAGTTTTATTTTTTTTTTTTTTGTGTTTTTTTTTTCTTTCAATTTGCCTACAAAGCAGATGAAAAATACCAGCAAAAAATAGTCTAAAATAATAATTTATGCAATACAAGTTGGTGCTTTGATTTTATTTATTTATTTATATGTATATTAAGGCTAAAGATAAAAATTTGCTAATTGTGACTAATAACTCGATAACTAAAGCAATCAAATACAATAGTCTAAAGTTCAATTTCGCTAAAATCATACATACATATATATATTCATATAAATTTCTACACACATTAACATGAGAATTTCTAAGCTATGAAATACTTGAAATATTTATATGCCTATTAAGAAACTTTAGGTATTGTATTTATGTATATATATATATATATATATATGTGTGTGTGTGTGTGTTTGTGTGTGTCTGTATCGTATAAATATAATTAGTATATTATGCTATACATATAAAACTAAAAACGTAGCTTATAAATTAACAATTCCACTACTATATTATGCAAACGATACAGATAAGCCCTCTCTTGCATAATTTTGCAACAATTTAGGCCGGTCTCGTTTCGTTTCGATTCGATTTCGATTCAAATTGATTCGATTCGTCTCGATTTGATTTCATTCCTTGTTGTCATCGTTCTAAAATACTCGCACATATCATTTTGCTCAACCGAAATATTTGCTTTAAATGCGTTGCATCTAATTAAGAACTCGACTCGCGCCGTTTGTTATACTTTTTCAGATCTCAAATGCTAATTTTGGGTATGCGGCGGCTCTTTTTTTTATTATTGCCATTTCGTTAGTTGTTTTAAACGATGTGATAATATTTAAAAAAATAATAATAATAAAATAAAAACAAACGGCACGAATCTTAAACTTAACGCATAATTATTTGTTGTTGTATTTGGCATAGCGGGAAGATGGGATTGTGGAGAGGGGATAGGGTAAGGGGTTTCCTAAAGCATACTTCTAATAACACTATGCAACAAAACTTACTCAATTAATTCTTTTGCTCATTTTAAACATTCTTTATCAATAAATTTATATTATATTATTTGTATTATTCAGTTATTTTTCGTAATATTATTTGTTAAATTATTTAAAACTGATTCAAATTTCAATTATTATTTTTTTATCACAATTTTAACATGCTTAAATGCAAAGTAAAACTTCTCTCAATATATAAAAATATTTTTCAAATAAACTTTTGGTTTTGGGGACACTGTATGATAAAAAAAAAACTAAAACTTAAATGTGCTTAAGTTGTTTCAGATTTTTGAAGCTCCTTCCCAATTTCTATAAGTATTTTTTTATTAGAAGCCAAAGTATTGTTTAAAGAATGTTTCAAAAGAAATATAAATTGATATTGTATACTAAGTATGATAAACATTTGTTTCTCTGTACCAAATTTTGTTGCATAGTGTTAGGCCCAACGACCGATTTTCGCCTATCAAGTGTGTTTAACAATCAATGCGGTTAAGCTCAAACCTTGGTGGTTAAATCGAGTGCTGTTGAGGTGGCCACTTTAACGGCCATGTTGGGTGGTTCCGGTGAGCTCAGACGCAAGCGTTTCGAGCTATTTGATTCCTGCATCAGCTCATTCAATTTGCGTTTGATGCTATCGTTGGCCTCATTATCACTAGTGTTACTTTTGTTGTTGTTGTTGTTGTTGTTGGTATTACTATTGTTGTTGTTTATGTTATTGTGTAGCTTGTGGGTTTGCTCTATGCTGGTCTTAACCGTTTCCGTGGTGCTGTTATCCTCGAGCTCAGCCAGGGCTGATTCCTCATCATCCTCGTCGTCTGCTGTTATATTGAGGACTTCATCAGCTGTTGCCTTATCAGTTGCTGCCTCATTATCACTGTAGATTTCGACATCGGCTACCTCCTGGCAGCTGCTCTTAATACTGCTGCTACTCCGGCAGCTGGAGCTGGAGCTGCCAGTGGTTTTCATGCTCAGGTCAATGGGATTATCCTGTGCTCCTGTATGGACATCCACTAATTGCTCCGGCTGCTGCTGGGCTGGCGATCGTGGCGGCGTCATGGATACCACCAAATCTTCCTCATCCTGATCTTCCTCTCCTGGCTGTAGTTCCTCCTTAACGGCCTTATCACTGCCAGTGGCCGTTTCGCGTTCTTCATCATCCGCCTCACCGTTGCTCTGCCTGCTCTTCAAGCGCTCCCGCCCGCTTTCCGAGTTGGGCGTGACCAGCGCCGATATGGAGTAATCCTGCTTGCTGTGCGGTGGCAGCTTTGTCGCCAACGGCGGTGGACTGTGCTGCTGTGATTTGAGCACCGCATCCAAGTAGAAACGTTTTGTCAGCTCATCAGCGGAGCTTGTCGCCGTTCTGCTGCCATTGGGCAGTAAATTATTGTTGTTGCTGTTGCTGTGGTTCGGACTTAGAGCTGCTTCCTCTTTGTGGCCGGTAAATGGCCCCGTCGCATGCAGCTGCGGCCCAAAGCGCTGCCCACTCGCGTTGCTTGAGTTGAACAAATGCTGCACTGCAGCAGCGGCCACTGCCGCTTGCTGCTGCTGCTCGGGCGTGGGCTTCAGCAGGCCCTGATGATGAGAATACAGCGCAGGATGATAGCCGGGAAAGAGCAAATGCGAGGGTGGCAAAAATGCAGGCGGCGGCATCACGGGCATCGAGGCGAGCCCCGGAAATGGTAATGGCAAAAACGGCGCCAGATCCTTGCGCAGTTGTGGCGGTCGCCCCGGCGCTGTGCCACTTCCAGTTTGGCTGCCATCGGTCGCAGCATTTGGCTTGCCACCAAGTTGCAACAGCGAGTTGCCACGCGCGCTGCTCACCTCCACGGAACTGTCCGAGTTGTGCGAATCCGGTGAGCTGACCGAGGGTGAAGCGACGAGCGATGGATGCTTAATGCCGCCATAATCTCCACTGCCATCTAGTCCCAGCATCATTAGCTCCTCCTTGCTGCGCGGTGGTCCCGTCGCATACAGACCCGGATAACCGCCCGTCGCATGTCCCAGCATGCCCAGTGCGGCAGCAGCGGCCGAAGGCGCTGACACGCCCGCCATGGTCTTGACACAGCCATTGGATGCGCCTCCAACGGTGGCATTGCCTCCGGCGCCAGCCTGCTGACTGTTGTGGTGTGCTGCCATCGCCGCGACCGCCTGCTGCTGCTGCTCCTGCAGCAGACAGTGTATCTTGAACCAGTTGGAGCGTCGGCCATAGCGTGAGCCGCTCTTCGACATGCCCACCATGAGGCACTTCTTCAGGCGGCAGGCCTTGCAAGCCGTGCGATTCTTTTTGTTGATGATGCATTCGCCGTTATTTTTGCAGTCCGATATGGAGGACAAATTGTTGTACGAGCGGCCAAAGAAGGACTGCAAGTAGATTAGGGTCGAATGTAAGATTAGTCTGATAGACAGTTCAAAGGACTTATGAATATAGAGAATGCTCTTATTTTCTAGGAAACCTCTTTGTTTAGTTACCTTAATAACCTGGACTTCGAGACAACTCATGTGATACATAGACGTCTGTCTTCAGTCAAAGTTCTTTTTATAAAATCCATACAAAATCTCGTATTTTTGCCTATTGCCATCTTATGATTGATTTCTAAGCGATAGTTCATGTTAAGCACGTGATCTTTACCCGTTCGACTCATTCGCATCTCTCAATAACAACTTCAGCCTAAAATCTGTTTACCATAACTCTTCCTCTTCTTCTTCCTCTTACTCTTCCTCTTTTTTCTACTGATCTATTTGTTTTATCATTGATATAATGTATCTTTACATTAAACTCAGCTCGTGTTTACACTCTCGACTTTTATTGTGCACCTTGCATGCTTTCCTTTCACACATACTCACATAGAAGGCGCCACTACTTGGTTCTGTTTGGCTTCGATACCTCTATTCGATACTTTTGTTTGTTGACCCTTGAAGTTCAAGTGTTTTCGATACCCTGTACTCAAAGAATGAGAGGGTATCATTAACTACTATATCTAGCTTTATAGAAAAAGCTTTATAGAAAAAGTTGGCTGAAATATGAAGAATAACGAGCTTCACTCTTTGTTTGTATTGTCTCAAAGGAACAAACGATAGGAAATGAAGCTTTGTATAAAATTTCTTCTATGCCAAGTGTTTTCTTTCTAGTTTTTTTTTATAAGTTTTAATATACAGCTTTGCTATTTAGTCAGGGTATGTTTACGTATGCTCTCAACCCGTATCCGAAAACTCTCGGCTCTTTAAAAAGTTTTGTACTGGTTAATTCTCTTTCCCTCACTCTCTCCCCCTATATCTATGTCCCTCTCGACTGCAGAGACTTTTCAGCGCCTTAAAGCCGTGATGTCATTCAACAATAATATCTCATTAAATTTTCTGATGATTCATCAACGGCTGCTGCTGTTGTTGGTGGTGTTGATGCTGTAAAATCTTAAAAGCTCTGCCAAAAAAAAGAAGCGAATCGACATGCAACGTGCACATCCACGTCCACGTTCACGTCCACGTCCACAGACAGAGCCACAACCACCTACACCTACGAGTGGAACATTAACCGTTGGCTGGGCCACAATCAATTGCAACAAAACAAACAAACAATTTAATTCAATGCGGCACGAAAAAGGCTACAACATGTTGCTGTTGCTGTTGCTGCCATCAGCTGTGGCAAAGTCAGCGAGTCGCAGCAGCAGCATGTTGCAAAGGTTATAGGCTGTGCAACACTTATGCCAAGTTGCAATGTTGAACGTAAATCACAGCGCAGCTTGGCAATCAAGTTGGCGTACGGACGAATAGTCAGACAGTCCGTCGACCAGACAAACAGACGGACAGTCAGACAGATAGTGGGACAGTCATGTCTGTCAGTATTCAGTCAGTTGTTGTCGTAGGTGGAGTTCGAGTTCGAGTTGCTATGTGGAGACGCGCAAATCGAACCGCGCTTAGAAACAGAAACAATGCGAAAATCCACTTTTAAGGTTAATTGGGCATCAAGATTACTGGGTCGGAAATGGAAATGGGGGGATTTTCGTATATGTATGTTTATTTATTTCGTTTTTTTCTTCTACTCGGTTTCTTCTTTTTCTTATTGTTGCTGGTATATTCTTCTTCGGCTATACGTATACGCTTTCAGTTTCGTTTGAAAGAGCAGCAGCAGAACCGGACGAACTTCATTGCGCCGGCTATTTACAGACAATTTTGTGCGCCAAGGCGGATTCACTTTTGTTTGTTTTGTCGAAATCTACCAGAGTCTGTCTACCCTTTGCTCTTGGCTCTTCACTAAGTATTCTCATGCCTTTTAGCCTTCTGCTGCATCATCATCATCATCAGCATCATCGCCATTATTGAAGCGACGCGCTTTGGTTCGTTTTGGGAGTCTTTTGTTTTGGTGGGCGTCAAATTAGCCGGCCCACGCCATGGCGCACAAATCAAATAATGTTGACCCACAAATTGTACGTTAGTTGACCTTTTTCTTCTAGCCAAAAAAGAAAAATTAAAATCAAGCAATCCTACAGCGTCCCCTTCATCCAGCTGCCTGTGCTCCTAAAGGCATTTAAAGTACTCGTGTTTAAATCAATTATGCATTTTGTGGAGCGCTCTTTTTGTTTAACTTTGACCTTAGCCTGAGGCGTTCTTTGTTGTCGTTTATCTTATTGTTGCTGTTGTTGTTGTTTTTCTTAGTGCTCGCTTGATATTGCTCGTAATGAACTCAACATTCCAGTTTTGGTATGGCACCATTTACTCTACGGCTTTGTCACGATGCGGCTAGCGATTTATTATGGAATGCCAATAGCGATCGATAACTATTATTCATATTGGCAGGGAGGCGCCGAGGCGTCGATTATTATTATTATTTCTATGGAAAATTACTCAGTGTACGTTGCAATCGATAGCACTTGTGCTTTTCATATTGTCCTCAGAAGAAATCGATAAATGGTATGAGCACAGCTTACGGAAACTTTCGATAATAATTAGCGATAAAAAAATTACATATAATGAAATATCAGTAGTTTAACTATAGCAAATCTATATCATGCATGGATCGAATATAGCTGATTTTCGATAATATTTCTAAATAGTTATTAATTAATAAATAAGAAACTTGTACTCACCTTACAACCTTCGCATGTGAATGCACCAAAATGAAACCCAGCCGCCGGCTCACCACAGACCTTGCACGTCTGATTCATCTGGAGAGCATGAAATGAAAAGGAGCATAAAATGATATAAGACATTAGCTGGCATGTTCTAAATCTTCTCTAACTGTCTCTGTCTTTCGCTCTTGCGTGCAAAGAAAAAACAAATGCAATAAATTCATAAAATTTCAATTAAATGCAACAGCAAATCATGACACGAGCATCTTGCGCTCTCCATAACCCAACAGAACTAAGAGCAAGTGCGCCGCCAGCGAAATTCACACGCATTAAAAATTAAAATGCAAACATAGTTTGTCATATCGCAAAATTGGTATCAACAACAACAACAAAGAAGAAAGAAAAGCAAAGGAAAAACCAGCCGCACAACAAATGGAAATGGAAATGGACGATGTTGCCGTCGTTTACTGGGTAGCTGGTTTGCCGGTGCTTGCTGGCTGGCTGGAGAGCATAATAAAATATGAAGATGAAATCAAATGAAAAATTGCCCCAGAGCACTGCGAACATTGTAGCAGGCGAGCAAACAAGCAGCGTGTAGAGCATTTGCATTTATATGGCCTGTGCTGTGCTGCTCTTGCCTGTTTCTGTTACCAATCTCGCCTCTTGTTTCCTTTGAACTGTCTCGCGGAATAGACCTTAGCAACTTGTTGCCAAGGTACACACTCGTATATTTGTTTATTTATTGCGAACGAAATGTTTATCAACAAATTGCCATCATTGTTGCTGTTAGGGGTCGCCTTGTTGTGCTTTATTTGGGTTTGGGGCGTTTGGCATTTCCATTTGGGGCTTGGATCTTGGCGGCAACGTTGTGGTCACAGTATTGCATTTTTTTTTTTTTTTTTTGCACTTGTAGCTTTAACTGGAGCAAAACTTGGTTGACACGCACACACGCAAAGTTATACAACGAGCCGTGGGAGACTTTAGAAGGAAGTCGATTGGGAGCTCGAGGAGTTCATAAAATGTGCTATGTATATAAATTCTTTTGCCCCTGAATAACTGACTGCTCTACCGACTAACTGACTAAGCGACAGAAATCGAGGAAATGCGCGCAAAGTTCAAGGAAATTCACCCACAGCAGTGGAAAACTGGTGAAAAGCGGCTGCTTGGAACTGTTCTGTTCACCATCTGATTGGCTTTAAAATCATAGTGAAAGATTTTTGTGAAAATTCAGTTGAGACGTGTTTTAAACATTTTGGTAAAACCACTCCATCTGGCCGGAAATCCGAGATCAAAGGTTAATGAGCAATATTTCGAGTTTTGTCCGATCGGCAGGAACGATAATTGCAAAGCTCTACATAAAAAACTTAATGAATACAGGTTGTTGCAATTGATTTTTCACGCGCAACAGTGGAAAATTGGCGAAAACTCGTTTTAATGAAACTTATGCTTACTATTTGATTGGCATAATCTTTTAAAGCCTTTCGTTTTTAAATCATTTTGCAATCTCAACAAAAAATTTGTATATTCATATAATTTTCAGTTAAATACTAAAATCTATTCATTTCGATCCGATTTCCACATTCACCGTTGCAAAATTTACATGGGAAATCGAAACGTTCACAATAATTTGCCATAAATAATACAATTATTAACACAATAACAAGCGCTGCTTAAGGATCGTTTGATCTTCTATCTTTAGTAGCTCTCATTAAAGCGAAATTGTTTCAGGTGGCTACAGCAGGTGGCTACAGCTGCACATGCTCAGCACTCGGGTTAGCCGCCGAGTGCAGTTCACTTTTTGGTTGGGATTTATGTTTTATAGCACCAATTGCCCCACTGTCAATTCGCGGCAATAATTTTTCCCATCTGTCCAAACAATTGGCACATTACAAAGTAGAGAAAGCATTCAACACATTCACTTTTGGTCAGGACCCGGTCTTCGGCCCGCCAACCTACGAACTGTGCCCACCTTGTGGGCTGTCCGTTCCGGGGCGGGGTTGGCAATAAGGAGGGGGGGCGGGAGTAACGCTTAAAAGAATGCACCACACCAATTGGCTTAGTTCGCTCAGTTTCTTGGCTTGTTCGGCCTGTAAAACATGCTAATCTGATTTCGTGTTATGTGTTGAGTTCGGCTCCCCAGCCCCAGCCCCAGCCTCAGACCCAGCTTCAACCCGTCCCGTCCCGTCCCATCGCATCGCATATTTGTTCCGACTGGGTAGGAAATAAATTTTGTACGTTTAGGTTTCATAAAGCGTCGTCGGGTCCGCTGTAGCTGTTGTTGTTGCTTGGATTAATCGACAAATAAAAATCACATAAAATAAATTAAAAATTATGAGTTTCAAGTTTCAACAACCAGCGGATTGGCAGCAGATTTAGTTTGATTTTAAATCACAAAGTAAAAAGAAGAATAAAACAAGAAAATGGGGGAACAAAATAACAGAGAGAATAATAACAAAGTTGCAGAGGCTGCGAGCTGCCTGTTCGTCTGTCCGGCGTGAAATTTATGCAGACAATGTGCAATATTAAAAAGCAATAAACATTTATTTTACAACAGACAAGTGACACTAGCTACTAAAAGCTAGAACGAGTAAGACAGAGACAGAGAGAACGGGCAGTAGGAGTGAGAGAAAGAGCCACAGAACGTTTCTCTTGGCTGCGGTTCGTTAGCTTTGCGTTGGGGATAAGCCAGCGTTTGTCTGATTTACACACAATATGCGGCTATATATGCATATATCATATATGATGATACGAGTAGACGATACTGGCTACCAGATTCGATCAGCTGCATGCGGCCTGAACTTGTTTAGAGCCGTGTTTCAATTTATTTGAAGTGTCAGCTAATGATTTGCGAGTTCATTTTAATCTCCATTTCCATTTTACCCTAATATAAGCCAGCACAGCTTTACTTTAACGTGGGTTGATTCTATTGTACTTGTATTGTTCAAGCATAAGATGCAATAATAATGATAAATGAGTTGATTAGGGCCAAAAAAGGGAAAGCAACAGATAGAGAGGCTAAGCGACAAAGCTGAACCAGAGGTGCTTTGATACTTTATAAACTTTGCCTTGTTTCATCAAGGACATGTCTCTAGGTAGCTTTATCAAAAAGACAAATGGCTATTAAAAAGAGAATACACAAATTCCACCACATGACCATGGAGCAACTTAGCGCTAATCAAAATACAAAAACCCCACAAAAACGGTTCTTTTTTAATCACAGCGTAAAATTTGTATCCAAATTTTGTTTTTAATATTATACTTAATTTGAAGTTTTGCCACCTTCCCAAATTCTATATTCATGAATAATCAAATACTTCTAAAAAGCTCATTTAATGCCACTGTTTAAGCATATCATGTTTCATGTTCATATTTATCGAATGACTTCATTATAAACAGACCGTTGTTTGGTCATCTTTTCAAGCGACCCACTAATTTGGGTACAGGTTTTTTAAGAAATTTATTAACTTCGCTTGTTGCATAATTCTACAAAACAAATCTGAGCCAAGCTACCAACATTTTAGAGCCACAATTAGTGGTTATTAAGTGAAAGTGTTATAAATTAAATACGCCAAGCAAACAAATACTTTTAACAATGGTTTGGAATTTGTATGCATAATAAAGTATTTTTATATTTTTGCTTGGTTTGTTTTTTGCTAAAGATTAAACAAAAATAAAAAAAAAAGACACAAACAACAACAACAGCACTGCAATTTGTCAAGCACCCTGCTTGGCCGCCCGCCCGCGGCATATTGATGAGTTCAGCTGCAACCAATTTATTTTAATTAGTTGGTATATTTTGCGTGTAACTAGTTTGTCTAAGAAAAAGTACCGAATACTCCGAAAAATACCTAAAAAAAAACTCGTATGCATTAAATTGTTTTTCGGCGGGAATGCACAGCCGAAAGATGCCCTGCACATAGGAGTAATTCCTGTTTTGTATGAATAAATATCTGGTTAGGACTAAGATCCTGCATCCTTCAATCGATAGCTCGATAGGCATTATCCCTTATTATGTGTAAATCGATTCATATGTATGTACAATTGGATCGGAAGTGCAGAACATTTTGGTAATGTTATTTAAAGGATAACCAGGGTATACAAAGTTCAGCTAATTCAATTAGTTTGGCAAAAATTTCCCGCGTCGTCATCAAAACTGACAGCACATAAATATATTTTTGGATCTTGTTGATTTTGTATGTGATTAATTATAGCTGCTGCTGCCGTTGTTCGTTATTGTTGATGTTGTTATTATTGTTGTTGGTCGTTTGTTGTTAACCTTAAGTCAAACAAAAATAGCAAGTAGAATTTTTAATATTTCACTGGCTGCGATGATGCAATATTGAGATATATCAAAAATTCAAGCTCATTATAATATGAAATTATTAAAAGTAATTCAGTAAAAAAAAAAAAATATTAAATTAAAAGCACGTTTACTCCAGTTTAAGCGCATCGTCTCGCAGTTGAGCTAAGTGCCATTAACGTGGCCGCCGCTTCGCTTTTAGCCAAATAAGCGCAGCACAAAAAAAAAAACAGCAAAGTAAAAAAATTATGATAATTGCCCAACTTGACCTTGGCAACATGTACAACTGCCACAAATTCTGCTCGTAATACCAAATGCGCTGCATGGCAAACTAATTTTTTGCACATCCACAAGACTACACACTTGGGCTGTGCGGCAGGGGGCAGCGGGTAGCGGGCGGGGGCGAGGCCCCATAAAAGTCAGCCATGTGCTCGTCTGGCATTGTTTGCATGCAATTATAAAAAGCGCAAGAGCAAAAAAATGAAACAGAAAACAAAAAAAAAAAAACATAATTTAATTAAAATGAAATCATGCACAAAGCAATTGCCTCGCTTTGTTCATTGTGCGCAAAATGCTCAAAACAAATTGTTCTAGTTTTTGTCTATTTTTTTTTATTATTATTTTATTTTTAATTTTTTTGCTTTTTAATTTTATTTTTATTTGTATTTTTTTTTTTGCATTTAATTTTTATTCATGACTCGTCGACACTGAAGACGGCCGCGCAGAGTGTGTTGGTGTTGCCTTGTGGCAGCACTGCGAAAACAGAAACTTAGCTTAAATTATAATCCACGATTTT